GAAGGTCAGGATTCCTGGTGATGGGTGTTGCTGAGGGGTCAGGCAGGTCCCCAAATACAGCCATGCCCTCTGATTCGACAACAGGGAGGTGACCTCAGCAAGAGTAGTTTGGGGAAGAAGCTGAGAGGAACCCAGAACAGAAAGTGAGGAAGTGGAGATCACAGGGTTGGCTCTCCTCAGGGAAGTTTGAGTGTAAGGGTAAGAGGAAGAAAGGAGCAGGACCTGGAGGGAAAGAAGATGCAAAGTGTGTACTTTGTGTGTGTGTGTGTGAGAGAGTGAGAGAGAGAGAGAGAACTGAGACTCAAAGAAGAGGTTGACTATATGACTGTCAATGGAAGATATGAAAGATACGACTGTAAACTAGAAGTGCCTATGTGAAATGATTGTTAACTGACAGAAAAAGAAATACTGCACACATATGAATGTGACCTTGTGAAACACATGCATGTGCTTTAAACATAAAAGTATTGAAGCAAAGGGGACTTTTGCCAAATTTTTGAGACCTGTCTTAGTCATTATCACCAAAAGGGGATAGATAGCATACATTGAGCTTGTATTATGGTAGACGTGGGGCTGGTGCTTTGTCCCTCATCTCACTGAACATCATAACAGCCCTGCTGAGTCTGTAGAATTATTCTTATCTCACATAAAAGGACACTGAACTAAGCCTTTAGCCCTCAGAGAGGAGAAGTACTTTGCCTAGAGGATACACTTGACAAATAAGGAACCAGGATTCGAACTTCAGACTGTCCTGCTCCACAGCCCAAATCTTTCCCTCTAAAAGTAAAATAACTTAAATAATTTTAACTTCTCCCTCTCCAGTAGTACTCATGTGTTCTTGGTTTCAGACACTGGGTGAAACTGATACAGCAACTTTGAATAGCATTGTTTACTTTCTCTTATATTCATTTGAGACACATTTCAATAAAATAATAGAATGTAGGAATCTCAGAGTAGGTGCTTGGCTTTTCATGTCAAAATAAACATATCAAAAGTGCATGTATGTTATATTTCTGAGTGTGGACATGTGCATGTAGCAAGGAGCATATAAAACTTCCGGAACCTTTGCAAGTGAAGGCCCTGAAGCTGACCAGCTACATGGCAAATCCACCTGTGATGTACATCTTATGTGTACATCATGTGTGTACATGTGTGCATGCAGGTAGATGGAAGAACCAACTAAAAGCTGTTGTCCCTTGACCAACAGACCTGGGTTCCATTGCTTAGTGCAATAGAAGCACAAGTTAATGCTACTTATTTCTTTTCTGGAAGATGGAGAAAATTTATCAAGCACTAAATGGGCTGAAAAAATTTTATGTACCTTTTGACTTTGAGCCAGTGGTCATTTGCTAAGTTAGATAGATAACTATGCTATGGCTCACACTCTTTGCTTTGAGTAGGCAAATAAATGTCATTTATTTTTAAATATCTTCTGTATTCCACAATGGACTGTATTCCAGAGGTGCTCTGTTAATATTACTTTGTAAATGTGACTTCCTGTGTCCATGAGGATTTGAAGATTGTATTGATAGGACAGGCTGAGTGGTGGACAGGTATGACAGTGGACAGGAGGAGAGTGGGAAGGGCTGTCTTCGTTTCTTTAGAAATTTGTTGTAGAGGAGACACATCTTTTGTGTATTCCAAAGGTGAGATGAACAACTGAGGTGCAGGGATTGCGGGAGAGCCAGATTCCAACTCAGTGGAAATGTCTACCAACTAGAGCTGTTCTAAACTGGCTTGTCCGTGCTGTGGCTGGTGTCCATCACAAGGTGTACTCAGCCAAAGCCACTTCTTGATCCGGGCATGGTGGTGCACCCCTGTAATCCCAGCACTTAGGGGACTGAGGCAGGAGGATCGCTTTAAGTTCAAGGCCAACCTGGACTACGTAGTGAGTTAAGACCAGCCTGACCTACAAAGAGAGAGACTGTCTCAAAAGAAAAAAAAAAGCTACTCCTTGGCAAAGGAAGAGGAGCTGGGAGACTCATAGCAAGCAGAAGAATTGAGTCAATCTAAGAAACCTCTGGAGTCCTCTCTAGGTCCAAAATTCCAAGTGATTATAGGCATATACTGTTACCACCACTCATACATGGCTCTGCACAGAAACATTGCTCCCTGTGCTAAGCCAGCCCCACCCCAGACCGAGCTCCTGACTGCTGAGCACATACATCTGTGAGTGGACTGATGAAGCTCTGGCCCCACTCTAGGGTCTCAGAGCTAAGTGTTCTCCTTGTTGAGCACCTGGGGCTTGGGCCACACTCCTACCCATCAGCCATGTCTCACGGAGGACACTTACAGCTGCTGACTCACTGAGCAGCCCGGGAATGCATGTGGCAGGCACATCAGCATCAGTGTGGGCCTCGCCCACCCCTGGGGCAGGAGGAGATATCCAGAGAGCCTAGGAGTGGGACAGGGCCTCAGTTCACCTTCTTTGCCCCTCCTAGCGGGGGCCATAGAACTGATGATGACCCAGCACTCTCCTGCTGTCTATGTGACCTCTGCTGAGGGCTTACACATCTGTCCTGAGCCACCCAAGCTATCACAACAAGAATGTGTTCTGAGTGGTAAAGCGGGGGAGGTGACAGCACTTGCTCCTGCGGCCTGAGCTGTGATGTTTCCTGACACTATGCTGAGCTTATTCTCACTGTCTGGATCACCTTACTGAATTCCACACAAGAATCGTGCATTTGGGATACCACTTACATCGGCTCTTTCCAGAGGAGGATGCGCAGGCCTACGGCAGCTGAGAGGAATGCCTCGGGAGCATCACCTGATTCCGGAGCACACACAGATGCGTGGCCTCCCTGCCTGTGTGCACGCAAAGGAGCACAGGCTTCGTCTCCTGTGGGCTTTGTTTCAGCCTCCACCAGGGACCTTCTCCATCCCAAGCACAGGAGCGACACATACTCCAACCCCGTTCCAGGTCTTGCTCAAGATGCCCCCCACCAGACCCTCGCTGCATGTGGCAGAGGGAGCTGCTGGGATTGGCATTCTGCAGAGAAGCCCAAGGTGACCGGTGCCCAGCCTGCAGTGTCTGCAGTCTGCATCCCACGCCGCACCTCTGCCGTCCTCACAGACACCAAATGCCCATTTCCTGGCCTCCCCTTCAAAAATGGATAGGCTAATTATGGACCCTTGTTTTTAGTGATAGTAATCATCAAGAACATATTTTTAAATGTTTTCACTTTCTATTCTGCTTAGTACAGAAATAAAACATTGAACAAACCCCAGGGTCAAACCCAGTGAGTATGAGGCCATGTAAATTAGGAAAAGTTGAGGAAGACATTACTTTAAACCAAAACAAACAAAAAAAAGTGTTGATTAGGGACTTATTTTTGTATGAGATTAAAATACGAATCATTAAAATAGGACTGTATTTCAGGCTCCGCGTCCCCATCTATGGGAGCCATCACCATGACTACTAGATTTGGAGTCCGTCAGTGCCAAAGCCCTTCCCAGCGCAAAAACACATCACGTGGGCCAGGTTCTGTCTCGCCCGAGACATTTCCAAAAGTGTGGTCAGAAGACCTGTGCATCTTCTTGCTCACCGTCCCTTTTTAATGAGATAAATCAGCACATGGCCTCTACTCTTTGAACTGTTCTGCTTTATTTAATAATAGTAAGAAGTTGGCAGTAAGTTACACTACTAGCATCTACAGTTGAAAGGTAGAGAGAGGAGCAAAGAGCAGGCTCGCAGGGTTTCCTGGGGTCTCACTTGGGACAGTGATGCCAGTAGCCACGGAACTTTATTTGGTACAAACAGTTGAGAACTGGAGGTTTGGAGAAAGAAAGAAATTAATATGAGAGTTTCTCAGGTTTGCACTGAGTTCAGAGCAAAAAAATAATGCAGCAATAGCTCCAGCCATAAATATGCAGCTAAAGGACGTTGTTAATTAAAATATCTGTTGAAAATGGGTAAAATTAGAGACAAAGACTCATTGTTTGGTACAGTTGTTGACTGAACATCTGTGCGCAGGGAAGGTCATAGGGGGACAGCGGCCTGTGGTATTTTCAAGATTAATCACCCACCGAAACAGGGTTTTGAAGCACCCACCTGGATTGTGACCTTGCATCTAAGCCAAAGGGTTGGAACCAGACCATGACGGATTTGGGACTGGGAGCTACTCAGTGGACACTTCAAATACAGAGTACAAAAGAGGGGCTCAAGCCAGCCCCTACCATCCTTTGCCACTGGCTGGTATCTTAAAATGATTTTCTAGAGCATATAGGACCCTCGAGCAATGAGTATTAGTATTTTTAAAGGAGGGAAGCATCCTAGAATGTACTTTAGAGCATTGTGACTAATTAGCACCTCTGAGCAGATTTGTGAAGTTTTTTCTCTTTTTTTTTTTTTTTTTTTCCTGTTCTTGCCTGGAGTTAGGGTGGGTTAGAAGGGCATATTTTTCTCCATAGGGAAGATGTCTGTCCATTGTCATTGGAACATTAAAGACTTGTCCATTAAAGTTTTCCTTAAATAATCTGAAGTACAAAAAGAGATGGATGTAAAAACAATATTTTCACAAAAATCATAGGGATAAGTTGGAATAATGTAAATTTCCCCTAAATCTGGAATATCCATTTGTAGCTATTATTTGACAGCTACAAAAGCAATTTAATAGTGTGGGGCATCTTTCAAACCTGACATAGAAGGGGAAAGAGTGGACACTGAACTTTTAACAACCTAACTCTAGCTATATAACTATAGATAGTATTAGCAAGGATTTTCTCTGGGAGTGATGGGGTTATAGGTGGCTTCCTTTGCTTCCTGGTTTTGGGCATTCTTTAAAACTTTTCTAGTGTGATCAAAACAGGTCTGATTTAAGCAATCACATGGCTCTGATGTTTTGAACTTCATATGCTGTGTCCTGTCCCTGTGAGTCCATAAGGACAACGTGCAGTTTTGTTCAACACTGCAGCCGTGCCACGGTACCAGGCAGAGTTCCCACTCCATGCATGCTATTGAATGGTGTTCCCTCTCTACTTCTGTTCCTTTTTCTTCTCAGGTGACGTGCTCTATGAACTCCTTCAGCATATTCTGAAGCAGAGGAAACCTCGGATCCTTTTCTCACCATTCTTCCACCCTGGAAACTCTATCCACACACAGCCGGAGGTCCTGCTGCATCAGAACCATGAAGAAGGTACTGGACAAGGCTTCTCTTCCCATGCCTGAGGCTTAGACAAACCCAAGGGTTTTAATTGTTAACTTCACAAGCCATTCTTATTCATGTGAATTCATCTGTCAGCAGGCCTTTATTGAGTGCCTACAGTGTACTAGGCAGTAGAGGAAATGCCTAGGTGAATAAGATGCATACTCTTCCTTTCTGAAGCTTCAAGCCTTAGTAAAGCAATGAGGTAGATGTGCATCTATGTATAAAAGCTTAATGATATTAGTTGGCACCAGAGGTATAGAGAGAGGGGAGGTTGTAACTAGGTACTTCAGGCGGCTTTGTAAGGGAGGGGTCTCTCAAGGATTCCTTGACAGTTGTCCACCAGGATTCTGACCAGCAGTGGAGAACATTGCTGACACAGAATATGCCTATGAGTGGGCTCAGCCCTTTGAATAGAGAGCAGTTAGATCACATGGGATTTAGACCTTAACTCCCGCCCCCAACCTTTTCATTGGAATTGATAAATTTCAACGTGCATATTCCAAATAAAAGGAAATAAACCCCCATGAGGCATCACCCTGCTTCAGCAGTGATGTGCGTTTGCCACTGAGAGCTAGTCCAAGGAAGCTGGGTTGGATCCCTAGTGTGGGGAACTGATTTCTCAGCTGTAGAAAAAAGTGAGAGCAGTCATTGAGGATTTTTGAGCAGGACCTAATAAAAGCTGGGTGCACGAGGGGTATCTAGACCCTGAGAATGTGGTGTTGGAGCAGGGCTTTCTTTACTTGCACCCAAGGAGATCTGTGGAGGGTGTGCAGTGGCAAGGCTTTTCCGCATCCCCTGTGGCTGTTCCCCTTGTGATTCATAGGAGTTGTGAAGGCAGAATCGGAACTGAAGTGTGGCCCCCTGGATATAGTTCAAAAGCAGGTGATTTGGTACAGAAATGGCTATGAAAATGCCCTTTGAGCAGGGTACGGTTGAACAGCTAATTGTATAGCAGCATTTAGTGCTGCCCCTCTGAGGGCCATGGTGCCCACATCCCCTGCCAAGTTGGTAGATAGTGGAGATGTGAACATGACTGGCATTTTTTCATGTGTACTTGCCCTAGGACCAGATTACTAGGGGCTCAGGTGCCCCATCTCTTGAGGAATTGCCTTAAATTCATCTGTTGCCCCCAAAAGTAGGGCTATGGTTTTTTGTTGTCAGCCAATTAAAAAATGAAGTCTATATTTTAATTAAGGTGTCACAGAAGAGAACCCAACTCCAGGTGAGCCATGTCACCTGGGTCACCTTGCTTTCATGATAGGAATAACGAGTGAGCATCTCTAGCATGCCCCCTGCCTCTTTCTGTCTCATTCTTTCCTCTCCTCGCTTTACCCTCACAGAATTTAGCATCTGCTGTCCTCAGTTTTTGTATTCTTCTGCTCTTCCTGATGTGTTCATTTCTGACTTGCATAATAGCCAACAGTCACTCCAGAGAAGAGGAGGTGGATTTACTGAAGCCTGACATGAAGGCAAGAATTATATTCCCTGGCCTGTTTATTCAGATACAAAGAGTGTGTGATGGGTATCCCCCTTCTTATTACTTTTGTTTTTTTTTTTTTTTTTTTGTAAATTCCGTTTGGGATTTCTAGCCCCATTTTTATCCCCAGGTTTGATGGGAGGTGGATGGTCTCACTTCATCACAGTCCCTTCCCCCTTTCTCCTGGGCCTGATTTGACTCCTAAGTAAGCATCTGCGTCATTGGTCTTGTTTGCACATTGGTAAACTGGAGCTCATCAATAGAAAAAGCTGACTTACTCTGAGAGCTCTCAGACCAAGTAACTCCAGATGTGCTACCGCATTCACTGTAATGCGCAGCGCTCTCAGGTTTAGGATGTCGGGTGAGAATGGAGCTAGTGAGGGGCTTCGTTGCTCTGAACAAGTGCTATGCTTCAGACCCAATTCTTGAAAGTACGCAGTATGTGCTCAGAGACCATTCCTTAAAGCTGGCAGCCAGGAAGCAAGATCTGAAAGCACCTGCCCTGCCCTTTCATTTATTCAGCCACAGAGCATGCTGTCAGAGGACAGGTGGACACAGCGGAGGTGTGTAGAGGCTGCTCACCCTGCCCCCCGGCTTTCAGATCTGTGGGTGCCTTTGATAAGAGAGAACAAGTAGAGAGGTGAATGGGTCTGTACAGGTTCCCAGCCTCTTTTCCTTCTCCTCCTCCAAAAAGGGAAAAAAAAAAAAAAAAATACACCTCAGCGTGGATTATCTCGAGAATAAATGCTGTTCTATTTGATTGTGAAGGTAAAAGACGATGGATGTGGATGTATGTTAACATATAGGAAGATCTGGTTCTTTAAAAATAAAAAGCTCATAAGAAGAAATTATACATATCAGGTATTACTTCCTCGATTTATTTTATATAAGTAAGGATACATGTAAAAATATGTTAGCCCAAGATTACTTATGTTGCCATTGACAGGGCTCAGAAATATAAATATAAATATAAATGCCAATTACCA